TATATATATGTATAACTGAACATTGGGGGCCAGCATAAAAGATCAGGGTCACTAGCGCATTTATCACCATAGCGATGCAGCACTGGTCAGAGCAACTGCAAAAATTATCAGCTGCGGAGACGGAGAAACATGCTATGAATTAAAGCCGACTTAAGCATTCTAGGTTTGTGGATGTGTAGATACGGGAGTGCAGTAATTACTTCAAAATCCAAAACAGATGCAGCACCACAAGGTTCTGCGAAGCCGAACATATGAATGAACAAACTGATGAGATTTGAAGATTAAAATTTGAAGAGATTTGAAGATTAAGACTTAAAGGGATTTGATGATTAAGATTTTGAAGATTTGAAGCGTCAATGCTTAGCATCAGGCTTTTTTTTTGATGGGCAACGTTTGAGGTGTTTTGAATTCCAGTGAATGGATATTACTCGTTCATGGAAGCATCAGAGATATGTGCAACTCTACCCAAACTGGATCGTTACAAGCATTTACAAAAGAATTATGGCCAGCTTGCTCAGGCAAATGACTTATTCGAATGGGCATTTCTAACTGCGCAGGCACTGGAAAACAAGTATGAAGAGCTGTTTGTTGGTGTTCGCTACAGGAAAAACATCGGGTACCACATTTTCGAAATGTTTGATCTGAGCAGCTGAAAAAGATACTGATGCCGGTCTTTTTTAGTAGCATTGTATCGAGAATTTTTAAGAAAAAAACTCGGCAGTTTTTCAGGATCTAGAAATCGAAAAATACATTTTGATTGATACTTCAACATTTTCTTCGTGAAAATATGCAAATAAAATAATCGATGGGAGATTCTTAATAGGAACGTTGATATATTTCGAAATTTAACAGAAAACTGTGATTTTTTGGCACTTCGCGATTTTCCTTCTCCTAGCGATAGTATTTTATCAGCGTTTGACTGACGATATTTTTAAACTTCTCAATTACAATTAATAAAAATATAATAAGCAATCGTCCACTGGGTGACCGCTATTATTTCCGAGTAGTAACTAAATTTTTTAAAAGGTTTGACGGCCGCAGGATTATTTTTGATGGATTTGAAATTTCTCAAAATAAGCACACTTCCCCTCCTTGTTTCGACATTTTTCCTTCGTCTTCGCACTTTTTTTTCCTCATCTTCCTGTCCTCTTCGTATTTTTTTCGTTTTGGCTTTTTTTGTCTTCACCAATTCTTGTTTGCCTTTTTTTTTCGTTTTTTTTTTCGAACAATGCAGTGAATTTGCTTTGAAGTTTTGAGCGGATAGACAAGTTGCGCGTACGTTTGGCGCCTTGGGGTATTGATGAACCAAGCTTGCAAAATGGTGATTGTGTGGTGCTGAAAATTGGCAAAGATGGTCCGACGTGGCACATGGAGGATTGCACAAGGCGGAAACAGGTTGTGTGCCGCCTCACAAAAGGCAAGTAACCATCGAATTGGTCCAGGACGTCACGGCTTTTAATGCTTTTTCGTGTTTTTGTGCAGGCGTGTGAAAATAGACAGTAGAGCCTGCGGCTGCTCACTCAGATTTTCCCGAAATATTCCCAATCTAAATTTAGTATTCTGGCAATTTTCAGGATTTGACGAAAATAGATTAGGTAGATAAGCTGTCTTGCTCTTTTTTCCAGATTTTGATGAAGATGGATTAGGTAGATATGAACAGATAATGTTCGATAAGATCTTTATAGTCAGCAGCTGTTGCTAATTTTGCAGCCATCGCTGGTGCACAGGGCACCACAGAATGGGTGTTTTCTGGGCTTCAAATTTTATTTGAATTAAAATAAATGGAAGGCAAATTTTCTGAGATGGAATATATTTGCAGAAGAACCGATGACCGAGATACCGCATCGGGTGCGATGTCCAGAGGGGAAGGAGGACTGGATCCTCGGGAAGACGCACTGTTATTATTTAGTTAGCAATGTCTCAATGATCAGCTCCGGCTACAAGGCAGATCACGATTGCTTCAAGGTAAACAGCTAATTTAACAGTCGTTTTTTTGCTTCTTAGGGTTTATCTTAGATGGTAAAATTAAGGCCTAGCTGGAAGGAATTTGTTGCAAATACACTACTAGAAGCATATTTCCAACTTGAAATATCTCATGATGTATCTGTGAAATGTGGAACTGGTGAGCACGCGTAATATAGCTCTTTATGACGGAATCCTAGCCAGCAAAAAATTATTGTCAAAGTTGAAAAGATCACCGGAATAGTAAGTAATTGAGATACGATGTTCATCACAAACTCAATATAGCCGCTATGTTTTCTTCTAAAGTTACACCCCTACAGCTGGCATCTTCAATTT